TAGTACCATGTTAAAAGCAAAGTTTCCCTTCTCTGTCTTCAACTAAACTCTAACCTCTGCTGCAGTAATTAAAAGAAAGATAATTTTAAAATAAACAACGCAGGAACAAAGTACTTGGAGCTTTGTATTGATCTAGGATTTAGGCGAATTCAAGCACTGAGTTGCTTTATCTTCAAAATCCAATCACTAGAAAGTTTTAATATTTTTTTTTCAACCCAAAAACCTTTACTCTGATTCCTTTTTGCTCAAATCTGAAAAAGTTAATTTTTTTTCTTTTGAGTACCACTAAGTTTTCCACAGCCACAAATCTCCTTGAACCCACTATTCACAAATCTGAAGAACTCATATTTTTTATATTAAAGAGAAGAAAGATGGAATTTGGTGGGAGCAAGGGATCTTGCAAACTTTGGTCGTCATTGCCGCAGCGATGAGCACTCGGGGAAGTACAGGGAAGAGACGATTAAGTTAATTTACAGAGGACAAAAAATTTCTCCGTTAAGTTATATTGCGGTTGCTGCCGAATGGTGAGTTGTTTTAAGTTGGATGATGAATTAAACGACGACCTCATTAAACCTGGTCAGTTCGATCCTCTGCAACAACCTCATTAAAACCTGCATCTCTAAGCATCTGCAAACCACATCAAAGCAGAACAAGGAACTAAGTCCAAAAAAAAAAAAATCACAAGAAGATAATGAAGAGGATGGCAAATTATCGAGACAATGCAAATATACCTGCCCATAGGCTTTTACATCATGGAGATCATATCCTCGTTGCTTAATATACTCAGTAAATTCCAATGATGGTGTTCCAGCACTTTTGCAGTAATCACTGATAAGAACTTTACCCCCTGGCTTCAACCACTTGTAGAAAGATCTGAACAGTGCAGGTTTGTCCTGAGAAGAATTTAGAAAAAGAAATTGTGATTGATAAAGAAAAACAGAAAGATGCTTGAATACACAAAATGATTAACAGGGCTTCATTTGTTTGATCATGAGGTGAATTGCTCTGACTCAAATCAAATGACCAGCCAAGGAATATAAAGGTGACAAATTGAATCCTCTCAAAACCTAATTAAGAAACATTCCACAAAAATCTAAGTGGTTCAGCCAAACTGCAGTGAAATCAAAGCTCAAGCTTGGAACTTTTCTACACTCATCTTGTCTGTGTCTCTAAATAGAAAAAATGTAAATTCCTCAAAGAAAATAAAGCTAGTGCAAAGTATAAAGGCATGTGAAGCCTTACTTGAATGTGTAGAATCGTATCACGGCTGTAGATTACATCAAACATATTGTCAGGATATATTTTCTTAGTGCAATCAGCAACTTCAAATTCTACAGCACATTTGAGTCCAATGGCACGTTCAAGAGCAAAAGAAATCATATTTATAGAGAGATCAATGGCAACAACATGGACATCAAAGTTCTCAGCCATGTAAAAATCGCCTCCCCCAATGCCACAGCCAACATCTAGGACCTTTTGCTCAGGCTTAAGATCCAGCTTTGCAACAAACTCTTTGGTAGTCACTGCTCAAACAGGAGGAGGACCAAAAAGATCCATTTTAATAAGAAAAGGTCATTTATAAAATCTGCATTTCATATTGCTAACATTAATTTCAAAAATTATAACTTGGCTGGATGACTAAGCTGAATACAAACAATTTCTTAAATTGGACTTAGTATTAACAGAAAACAACTTTTTGCTGTACTATCGGAGAATTCTTAAATAAACAAAGGTTAAAGAGAATTACCAATTCCTCCAGTGCTCACAAATCCATTTCCAAAGACACGCTCATAACGCAGTATGACACGCTCATAACGCAGTATGCCACTGCATTTGTACTGAACAGTATCCAAGAAGCGCTGGAATCCCCTATCATTATCTGAAGCAACTTTCTGCCATGTCCAGCAAATCTGCTCACGAAAAAATCATTTCAGATCTTATCAAGTAAATCAGTAACTGAGAGTCAGAAAAAGAACAGAATGATTAAATGAATCATGGTTTATTGCCTGATTTTGATTCTTCTTGTTTCTCACATAAGCCCCAATACACTTGCAGCCAACTAAAGATAGCTCAAATGAATTCCCCAAATCATCATTAGCATGGCACTCTTTGAAGACCTATATGTACAATACATAACAAACATTTTGATTGAACAAAAAGAAACTGATGAATAACAGACTTTCACCATACATAATCAACCCTAAAAGCGCTAGCAGAATTACAATACAGATAAAAGAGGAAACCTTTGTATAATATCTAGGCTTGCGGTAGTGGGTTGGGTTGTTTTTCCGCTTGCAGTCTCCAGATTGATGAAAACAAGACTCTCTAAAGAAAATATATCCACCAACCTTCAACCATTTGACCATCCTCTCTACCAAATTCTCAACCTGAATTTGATGGGAAAGGTTTTAAACAGAGATGCTTACTCAAAGAGGTTCATACAATATCTGATATCAAAGCAGAAATAGTAGGAAAACTGTATTAAAAAGAAAAATATCTCACAACAAGAACAACCACTTTGTGTATGAACTCAAAGTCCTTGAGGATACATGGGAAATTGATTTTATATTTGTCTGAAATGAAAATTTGGAATCTTTATTCTACCTACTAACAAACAAAAAGGAAAATAGATCATCCTAAACATCCATAGGAGAGGCTCAAACAAACTCCACCATCATTGGCGATCAATGTAAATGTTAGCTCTCACTAGATTCCTGTTACATTAGTAACTGCCATATGTACATTTCCAATTTCTAAGTGGGTAAAGAAAATTTTGTTCCAAAGACAATAAAACATCCAGTTCTTTTAGGAAAACACAGTTGAATGCAATTTTTCTTTGCTGTTAAAACAACAGTATTTATAGCTGATCACTTGACATATTTCATAGGGAAAAAAAAATGAAAAACACTTGAGGAAGCAACAGGGCCCAACTAAGCTAGAGAATAGAAAACCAACCTCTTGCAGTGCAAAAATATCACTAGTTTTACCCCAAAAAAGGAGTGTTTTTTCAACTAAAATTTACCTCTTCATCAGAAAGATACATCAGTAACCAATTTGAGAATATTAAGTCCACAGATCCTTCAGAAAAATTCAAGTCCGGGGATGTCACATCAGCACAGATGAATTTCACATTTTTGCGATGACCATTAATACTTTCATTCTGCAAGTAAGAAATAGATAAAGAAGAATCAATCAAGCTCTGTTTATAAATAACTTGCTTCACTTCATATGCATAACCAAAAGATTTTAAAAAAATAAATAAATAAAGGCAAGGGCAGGATATTAATCACCTTCTTTATAACACTCTCAATGAAGTCCAGGGCTACAACATTACCAGCCTTCTGTGCTAGTTCACCAGTAAATCTTCCAATACCAGCTCCAAGTTCCACAACTGATTTCCCTTCATAGGGTGGGAGCAGAGAAAGCACCCGCACATCCAGTTGATTAAACATTTGGAATATCAATTAAGTAAACAAATAGAAAATAATAAAAGCAACTAAAATGAGAAGAAAATGATGTTATTTCTGCTGTAATTTCTGATGAAAAGGAAAAAAAATTTAAAAAGAGAGAGAGAGAGAGAGTAGAAAATGTCTGCATCAAAAGGGTATGAAGCATTATCACTATTCTATTGAGGTGAAATCAATCATTCAGTTAACCCAAGACTTGAAAACAACAACATGCTAAGAATGAAAC